TATCCATGGTAATTGCTTTAAGCCTGTAGATTGTTAAAATTGGGAATTAGGGTTTAATGTCTTATTAGGTTTAATTTTTCAAAATTTGGAAACCATGAAGTTGATTGATTATGGAATTAGGGAATTAGGGTTTAGGGTTATGGCTTATTAGGTTTTTCTGAATCTTTCTGATTTTTTCTGCATTTTTTTGCATTTTTCTGAATTAGGGAATTAGGGTTTAATGACTTCAGTATTGCTAGGATATCGAAACGACGTCGTTTTGATCTGACGTGGATAAAAAGAATTAAAACGACGCCGTATTGCTCCGAGGTGGACTGCCAGCTAAGCCTCCGCGGTGGAAAATTTCGGCCACGTCGATTTTTTTTTGAGAGGTGAGGAATTTCATGTACCGTATTGCCAAAAATTGAAGATCATGATATTGTGCGCCAAAGTCCAAAAGTCGTGATTAATTTGCAATTTCGATAAAGGTGGTGATATTATGCGCAATTTTGCCTAATATCTAACACATGATATATGATAAAATTAATTATATGCATCGTCATGTTCTTTAAAAAATATATATATTTAATAAAATTGAGATATTTAAGACCGTTAAAATTTGTAATTCGGATATGAGATGAATATGATGAATGTATTTTGTAAAAAAGTGTAAAGTTGTATTATTTCCGTGGTAGATTCAATATAATTAGTTAGTTTAATTTTATTTGGACGAACGATATAATATGGAATTATTATATACTGTAAATTAAATGATAGTTAGATAAATACAGAAATGAATCAATATGAATAAAAGTGTACAAAGAAGTTGGTACTCCGATGAATTGACAAATAATATTTATAAATTTAAAATACGGGGTCAATATATAATATAATATATTAATTTGTTGAAAATGTCTTATGAAAATTAACTTTGTAAAAATATTATAAAACATGTTTATATAAAATATTATAAGCATCTAAAATGTTATATAACATGTATAAAAATATGTAAATTATTATATAACATTTGTATACTATCTAAAATATTCTATATTTATCTGAAAAATGTGAGAAATCACCTAAATTTTTCTAAACTGTTATTAAAAAGACATATCTAAAATTAATAAATATTATCCTACATTGATTTACGATGTTCAATATTTTTAAATTATTAAATTTATTTAATATGTGATGTTGGATTTTATCCTCTCTTTAACTTAACAGCGTTCAAATCTTATGAATTAAATTCTTCTTCTACACTTATGAAAGTTGATATGGACAAACTCAAGTAAAAAAATCCAACAGTTATCCAGTACAAAAAAAAAAAAAAAATTAGGTTTAGTATACGTGCCAACCAATAAAATGTTCTAATATGTTTCTTCTATTACAAGAAAAACTAGTACGCACCCTGTGCGATGCACGGAACAAAGATATTAATGAGTTATTTTTACAGCCTTGTCCGTTCAAGTCTAAAAAGTAATAATGTTATTATCTATTTTCTACCTCTTTTAATCAACATTAAGTCTAAAAAATTATTAAGCCGCCATCTGGAAAATATGTATGGAATTATGTGTTCGTGTCTCATAAGTCACAAACATTATGAATAACATTACAAATTATTCATTCAAACTTTTATTCATTGCAAATATATTAAAATAATTTATATAACTGCCATTAAATACCACTTTCAATATATTTATAAATAAAAAGTACATAAAATTTTTGGTGTGTTCAAATTTAAATAATTTTTGATGGGCTCAATTTTAAATCATCCAGACATTTGGTCAAACGCATAGGTGTGTTCAAATTTAAATCATTGGCTTTTTGTTCGGTTGAAATTTAAATCATCTACTATGGTACTGTGATGTGTATTATATATATATATATATATACAATTTTTTAACAAATAATATGTGCTTTATAAAAATAATAATAATAATAATTTCACAAGATTTTAAACGTAAAATTTGGTTTTTAATCACAATAAAAAAATCATGGTAAGTTGTATTGGAAAGATGTTATGAGATAAAACAATTAACTAAAATAATTAAATAAAATACTTGATGGAAATATAATGCATTAATTACCTTTGACTTTTCTTACTACTAATTCTAGTAAATAGAATGTCTTTTTATATAAGTACTAGTAATCACCCGTGCGATGCACGGGGATATTATGACTTGTGAGCTTTTTACAATTATTTTTTGTATATAAATTGTGTAATAACAAAATCATCATGATCATAAGAATAGACATATAAACATATAATTAAACTGAAAAGATCATATATTATTGAACACTTCCCTGTATACAACATTATTGATTTGATTCTTTGGCACGTCATCTTTGCCACAAATCAAGATTTTCAAACGCTTTCGGTTAGTGACACGGGAGACAACAACATATAACTGGCCATGACTGAACACCGGTTTCTTAAGAAATAAGCCAACATGGGATAAAGATTGTCCCTGACTCTTGTTTATAGTCATGGTGTAAGAAACCATAATGAGAAACTGCCGTCGCTGGAACTTGAAAGGAATTCTAACATCAAAAGGAGTTATGGCCATTCTTGGAATCAACACCGTATCACCAGCATGATCTCCTGTGAGTATCTTACACTCAAGAACATGAGTGGATAGTTTTGTCACAACCAATCGTGTCCCATTACACAAGCCCATAGAATGGTCCATGTTATGCAACAACATGACTGGAGTTCCAATCTTCAAATACAACTCATAGTTCGGTATTCCGGAAACTTGATACTGTTAAAAAACTCAGGCGTGTGGAGATCAGACAAAAAATCATTATTAGAATCCGATTTGCACGTACTATCAGAGCTCAAGTACATACGACCATCCAACAAATTCAATGATGTCATGTACTCATTGATAGATTCGACCACATCAACCGTCGACGCTAATATAGCCCTATCCTTCAAATAACTTGGATCGTCAGGCGCCTCCTTATACATTGGATACGTGCTTTCAACGATTTGAGCAATAGGATCATCAGATGGCTGAAGCAAAATGTCTTCTGGTATGTCTATAAGTGCACACCCGTCATTCGACCCCCCGATAGTTCCATCTCCGATGTTGGCTATCCAATCTGCAAAACGTGCAAGCTCATCACGTTCATCTGAATTAGCAAGTCCTTGAAGACGCATGTTTTTCGTAAGCCTAAGCACAGTACAACTCCTCTATATGACAGAAGCATTAATGGAAGCATTGACTACGTCCTGACGGCTACCCTTTGGAATGACATGAAGGATTTGTCGAAAATCTCCACCAAAAACAACAGCCTTCCCACCAAACGGTGTGTTGAGGTTCAAAGGATCAATTGCTCCCATAATACCCTGCAGCGATGTTTGTACTGCTTCGAAACAATGTTGTTGCATCATTGGTGCTTCATCCCATATTATTAGAGAAGCACGAATTATCAATTCCGCCAGAGGGCTTTCCTGATTGATGTTTCAAGTAGATTCCTGGTGGGGATTCAATGGTATAGCAAATCGAGAATGTGTTGTTCGTTGTTTGTCCCATTTTTGTGTCTTTATTTTCGCTTTATTTTCGCTTTATTTTTCCCCACTTATAGGATTTTCGTAGGTTATTTGGTCCAATTCTGTGTTTTTTCCGTTTCTCTCTTTAGTTCGTTTTGTGTGTCTTTTTGCTGTGTTTTGCTTCGTGTTTTCTCCGTGTTTGTGTTTTCAGGAGGTAGATTGTGTTGATCGAGGACGGGACTACTTGAGTTGAGACCGGGATATCGATAATGCTCATTGAGGTGCCCAGATTATTGAAAGAAGGACCGGAAAAATTGATCGAAGAGCTGCCAGAACAACTCGCGACTCGCGAGACAGTGTCGCGACTCGCGAGTCAGTCGCGACTCGCAAGATGGTCGCGACTCGCGAGTCCAACAGAGCCGAGAAGATGGTTTTCGCGATATGAGTCGCGACTCGCGAGTCATTGTCGCGACTCGCGAGATGATGTCGCGACTCGTGAGTTATGTCGCGACCTTCCCCAGAAAATAAAGATTTTTGATGACGCGCGACTCGCGAGAAGTCGCGACTCGCGACCTGAAGAAAAGTGAAAGTCGCGACTCGCGACTTATGTCGCGACTCGCGACTTATGCGGCGCGAATTTCGAGGTAGGGATTTTTATATCAGATTTTCGACCTAGATATCATTATTCACTTTCCAGACCTTGTTTTTACATTATTCTCTGGAGAAAATTCACTCTGTTCGTTACTTTTACGCTTTTGATCCGTATTGGAGATTAAAAAACTCCTATTTACCGCTTTGGATTTGGATGCTTGTGGATTTTAACATTGGGATTCTCTATTTTAATCGTAAGTTCTTATTTTCTTCAATTGTTGAGTTGATGATGATGGCTTGGGTTAACTTGATTGTTCTTGTTCAATTCCACACGAGTAGCTAAATCCATACGCTAGGGATAGGGGATGATTGAATAGGTTCGATAATAATTGCTAGTTCTTGATTGTTCATATCTATTCAAGTTATGCTTATTCTAGGGTTAATAGATTGATCACCTGTTAAACCTAACTAATCAACGTGTGGAACCGAGAGGGGAGACGTTGGTCGATATAGGCTTGTTTAGAGTAGACTTGTTCGTAACTGTATTGTCTATGCGTTGCGGGGACTGATAGTTAATCGTTTACATCCACTCTCTTGTTCGTAACTGTATTGAGAGTGAACCTCTGAACGAGAAGCAATTCAGGTCCTTAAACCGAGCAGTTGATTGCCGGTAGCTGTGGTAGAACCGAAGCAATTATCCCCGATTCCCTAGCTCTTTAATCATTGCGTGAATATCTCTGCTATTTTAATTGCTTTTCATTAGCTCAGTTTCTTAGTTGATAATCAAAACCAAACCAATTCGAATAGAGTGTTTAGGAATTTTTCTTCTCTTTTTCGTGATTGAATAATCGTGCAATTGAATCCGGCTAACCTTCCTTGCGATACGACCCGGTGTTGAATCTTTCGATTCTACTCCGGTAAAAATACTTACAACATTCGTCCACCTGGCAACAAAAGGGACGCTATTCCACTGGATGCGACACATAAGACTATACCTCCTTTGGATCTCAAACCAGCATATAAAGTCCTCCACAGGAACGTCTTGCCGGTTCCACCATAACCATATACAAAAAAGAGTCCTCCTTGGCCGGATTCAACAACAGACATAATTCTTGAGTAGACACTCCTCTGTTCGGCTGTCATTTTATTAAGAAGCATTTCGTGTTCAACAGCGAGGGCCTTTCGATCATAATTCAATTCATCCAAAATTAGACGATCCGAACTTGAATAGATGTTATCCATATCCGGAAACGGCATAGTCTCGTATTCACGAAGAGTTGTCCCATGGCGTCTTAATAAATTCTCAATCTCAGCAAGGTCTAGGTTCTTAATTTGTTCTTCAGTGAGCCTCAAACCTATAAAGAAATTATTATGCATAAGAATAACAAAATATTAACACGATTAGAACATTGTATATAAAGAAAATAAATCAAATTATGATTAAACATATTATAAAAAGTAATTCATTACCATCGTTATTGTGTAGTCGACGATGTCTGTACAAAATGTCATCCGACATGCATTGCCAACACTTTGTCCAAACGTCATCCGGCCTTCCAAATGAACCGGATACCAACAAAGATGCAAACATGCGTCTAAGGGAGTCTGCAGAAGCCCATTGACTTGCTTCTGTAATGCCGTCTATATACTATCGATCGTCCTCCAACAAACCCCGCTCGTAGCAAGCATCACGATACGTTAGATACTGGACATCACCGACTTTCATATAGTCCTCATGACATGTTGCCCCACGCACAACAGTGAGCAAACATCTCAAGTAGTAATTATTTCCACTGTCGGGAGGTACGTATCGTAAACGGCCTATAGAAGGTTGGTCCTTATTTTTTCGAGGCGTCCATTGCCTGGTTGTTGTGTTCCACACAAATTTTGAAGGTGCCTCAACATACGTTAGTTCCCTTGCCTGAGGGTACATTTTGTTTGCCTCGAACCACGCAAGAAATTGACTTTCATCAACTGTGGGTTTGTTGATAACATCTTCAAGATCAACATCTTCGTCAAATAAAAGGTTTTGTTCTCCAAATAAGTGGAAGTTCAAACGCTGAATGGGAGGTTTTTTGTAATGCAACTCATTACCCAACAACCGCCATGCAGCCTCACACGCAGAAATGTACCGACAATCGTAATACATTTTTATCTCATCCAATGGTCTTTCAGTATCCCCTTCAGCAGACGTTTGATAGAATGATGCAGTCACACGATCATTATCCTTGTTGACATATTTGAATAGGTATTTTATAGATCGAGATTGATTGCACCACTCCACATTAATATGCGCTCCAAACTTCATAAACAGACGACGATTATGAGGCACGACATATCCATTGTGAATAACAATACCATTCTTTTCCAGAGATGTTCCATTTTCACGACGTCTATATCGTGGATAACCGTCTTCGTCAACAGTTGTGGAATGAACGAACTTTTTTTGGAAATTTCTTAGTACATTTGCCATCCACCATACAGGGCGAGTTTTTGTTTGCCAGGCCACACGGTCCATGAATCATATGCTCCTTTACTGCCTCGTAATATAGAGGATCGGACGATTCATCTGGTATCTCTGTAGATATGATTCTATCTATGTCAGATGGGTCGGGAAATTTGGCCTCCTTAGCAAGGAAGAGCAGTATATGAGCATGAGGTAATCCACGTTTTTGAAACTCGATCGTGTATATAACTGCATATTATTATATAATATTAAATAAATGTGAAATGTATCTTTTGTAAATGATTAATAAATATGTTGTCACAATTATATATACATTATCAAATGGCTCACCTGCTACAACCTTCCCAAAGATTTCCTTTTGAGAAAAATCCCTAATCAATTCCTTAAGTTTTGCTCGAAAGACCCTACAGACGATATCTGGTCGATCCTCGGGTCTCAAATTTTTTGGCTCGAGATAACGCAATATTTCTGGCCATTTGGGGTTATAGGTGAGTGTTATAAACAAATCACGGTACCCAGCCCATCTACAAATTGCCATCGCATCTTGATAGTTTTCAATCATATTGCGAGCACCACCAGTGAAGGTTGAGGGAAGAATTATTCTTTTTCCTATGGATCTTGGATCAGTGTCACCACGGAGAACGGCCTCAGCCACACCACTGTACAAATCACAACGGAGCTTCTTCTGATTGAGACGTATATACCGCAACCTCGCAGATTCTACCATGGTATAAGCATCAACGATAAATTGTTGATACAATCTTCTAGATGAAACAATAGTCGATGCTTCATGTTCTCGATCATGCATTCTATATGCAAAGTACTCTCGTACACTGACATATTTCCTACCTCCTTTCTTTACCTTCGTGCCTTCCCGAAATGGTATGTCCTCTCGATACCCATCCTCACCATAAGGCAACAAAAGAGGATATTTTAATGCCAAAAATGAAGCATTGAGTTCATTTATTCGCTGAAGACGACCGTTCATAGTTTCGACCAATATGTCCATTTCACCCATTGCCAGGTCAAAATCGCCAACAACCAATGCAGCAACTTCTGAACTCGTAAATTATATCGTCTGGCATCTTTATATCTCCGACCAATCAAACGGACTCGAACATTTGATTTCCCATGCTCCTGCATTCTATCCCGAGCCATACGAAATGATTTCACCAATTCGTTGTGTTGATCTAACATTTGTTTCAAACCAACAACTATATCCTCATGCAAATTATTATTGCCAGATCCGTTCCTGTAATAAAATAATAACAATTATCATTATATAACAGATAAAATTTTTAACAGTATATATGAGTAAAAAAAAAGACAATATTTAGAAAAATGTTTAATATAAATTAGAGTGAATTCATACCTCACACAATTCATTCTCCGTATCATATATATATAATTGTGCAAACTTCGAGCATGCACCTTCAGAAGGAAGCAAACTACCGATAAGATCTATGACTAATATGTTCACTTGTTACAAAAAATTAGTTCAACATATATATAATATTAAATAAAATTTTAAAATAAATCATTTTTTATGTATAATTATAAAGTAATAATTTAAATAAGTGAAAAACATACCATTCGGAATATCAGACGACACATCAATTCCATTTGTGTTTTGCAGGACAATAAAAGAGGATCCAATCACGGGAGATGTGTTCTCTTTATCTACAATTATAACGCAATTAAATAAATATTATGTTTAATAATAATAATAATAATAATAATAATAATAATAATAATAATAATAATAATAATAATAATAATAATAATAATAATAATAATAATAATAATAATAATAACTTTTATTGAACATAAACAAATAATGTTTTAGTAGAATGTAACATATTTAAAGCATTGTACTATTTTCCATAACATATATACTAAGCCCATTAATATAATTTTTTTAGCCCAAAAAAACATTGGTTGTCACAAATTGGATAAAATAAAAATTGTTACCAATGGAATTGGGCCTAAATTGGATGTTAAACGTATTGTTTGAAAAAAAGAGAAATAGCTCGGGTTTTGATTTTGGCCCAATACACATTATTAATTTATTGCTATACAACATAAACAACGATAGAACGGTCTACAATTGTTGAATCGATCTAACGGACATAAAATGAAGTTTACAACTATAAATAGCTAAGATTGCCGATAATTTAAGGTTTCCATTATCATTTTTGATTTTCCCGACACGCGTTTCTCTCCTCTTTATCTCCTCATTTCTGTCGGTTCATCTACATTTTTCTTATATATTTTTTTTTTCTGCAGAAATGTAACAGATCTTCTAAACATAAAGATTACACATGTTGTAATTCTTATGTGTATGTTTAGAAAGATGGTTGAAACTGCTAAATCACGGTTTGTTTGTTACACATACATCGGTTTTTGTTTTTTTGTTTTTATTAAAATTACTTGTTTCTGTTTTTGTTTGAACATTATTTTAAGATCTGAGCTCGATTTTTCAAAAAATTGAAATTCTGAGAAAATTATTCATGCTTTATTTACGGATCTGGTGGATTTTTTCGATTTCAAGTCGAAAAATATGAAACCGGAAAGGACGTACTTCGTAATTATTATTTATTTTAGGATTACAACTCGATTTTGAAAAAACCATGAAAAATCGAGAAAATTAATGATGTTTTATGTACGAATCTGGTCGATTATTTTGATTTGAAGTAAATATATATATGAAACCCGAAATGAATTAATTCGTTATTACTATTTATTTTAGGATCTGAGCTCAATTTTGAAGAAAAAATTAAAATCTGTGAAAATTCATCATGGTTTATGTTCATTTTGGTGTATTATTGCTGGACCTGGAGTAATTTTTCGATTCAACGCAGATCCTTTAAATCTTGATCGAAAAATAAGGAATCGAAAAGGAAGTAATTTGTTTTTCGACAAATTTATGTTGCCTTTTTTTGTGATTATGACGGATTTGGTGTCATTTTTTGATGCAACTCGAGATCTTTAAAAATAAGATCGAAATATATGAACGCCAGAAAGGAAATCATTGGTTTACACAATAACAAATTGCTTTACATAATTTTACTGTCATTTGAATGATTTTATTTTTTTATCATTTCTTTGGATTTATTAAACACTTTTGAAATGGATGTTGTTCTAACACACTGGAGCTCCCCATAACTTATTAAGGTAAGAATTACTTCCTCACATTTAGTTATAGTTGATCATCCTGTGTAACTTGTTCTAAGTGCTAAGATGCTATAGGTTTCATTACGATGTAGGTATATATACTATAGTCTTTGATAATAGCTTAATTGCATCACAGTTTAAGTATTATTGACATTGTTGTGTATGTTCAGTTGAAAGGTCTTTGTTCTATCCGAAATATATTGAAGTTTTTAAACAATCTCGGGCTGTCAATACCTTTTGTTAGTTGATTATACTTCTGAATGAACAATGAATCTGTACATTCTAAACTAATGAAAAGATTATGACATACTTGTTGTTTACATGGTTTTGGTTGTTCTACATTTACTTAGTTGTTTATATATTAACTAAGATGTTAGTTTTAAACATCAGTTTCAATTACAATATGCATAATATGTGATTCAACTTTGCTTTTTATTGATTCATTGACTGACTATTGTGCTAATATTACTTTGTTTTTTTTGTGCTAATAATATAAGTCATGTAACTCTAAACTAATAATATTTCATAATATGTAGACATGAAATGTGTGAATAACAATGAGACACCCCACAACATATCTATATATAAGTAATATGTAGAAAAATAGCTTTCTTTTTCTAAGTGCTGAGCTGGTTTATGTTTCTTTAGGCTGTAGATATATATACTATAGTATTTGATGATAACTTTATTGTTTCCCTGTTTAAATATTATTGT